AAACACATTAGGTACAAAAAACAGGTGCAGTCAAAGAATTGAGTGTGTGACTTAAAGGAATGAAATCAAAATTTGTGGCCATACTGGTAACTACACTTATAGCATTGATAAGAATTTTACAGCAAATATTCATTCATTAGTTAACTAAGCCACATATTTTATTTTACCCACCATCATGCCCCAAGGTGAACATAAAACATGGCCTGACTAACTAATGAATGAATATTTGCTGTAAAATTCTTATCAATGCTATAAGTGTAGCTACCAGTTTAGCTGACAATTTTGATTTCATTCCTTTAAGTCGCACACTCAATCCTTTTTGGCTGCACCTTTTTTTCACACCTAAGATTTTTTTGATTAGATTAATTTTTACATCTATTTATCTATTTATAATGAAAATAAACAAACCTGGATATTCTCAATGGGTCAGATCTTGCAACAGTCAGCTCATCTTTAGAACTTACCTTGCCTTCATAAGATGTAACAGAATTGATTTTACCTTCGGAAATAGCTTTCCAGTTTGAAAAACTTCCACTGTTAGATACATTTAAAGAACTTGGATGTGACTGTTTGGATAGAATGGTCGATTTTATTTTTTCATAATCTTCACTTGTTAAGGTAGATGGATATCTCTGTTGCTGTTGTCTTGAAAAATGTGAACTATCAATTTGTGACCTTGGAAAGGATAGCAGGTGATCATCCAAAGAGTTAAAGGTCAACTCTGCATTGGATAAAAAATTTTCATCGCAATCACCAAACCAAAAATCTTGAGTTTTAGCAGATGTCTCTTTAATAGGAATAGGCTCTTGTCTAATATCATTTTCTAATGTAACTGACATATGTGATGATAAAGATGACAATGAATTTTCAGATGAAGGAAGAGGAGGAGATTCTGATGGTATATATTTTTTATCATTCTGCCCATTACCTATTGGTTTTACAGTGCTTGGACACACAACTGTTCCTTTGATAGAAAGAGGAATACTGTGTTTATTGCCACGCACCTTTGGTTGCACAAGTCTACCTTTTCTAAGCATTCTTAAGGGATTGGACTCAGAGCTATCTTCGATATCTGAAGAATGTTTAGATTGAAGCAAAGAAGGTCTTGATATAACCTGGTTATCCTTGCTTTTGTTTTGAGTACTAATGTAGTGTTCCTGATTATTTTTAAATGCTTCTATAGAATGTTGATAATCAATAGAAACTTGCAGTTGAGAAACTTCTGGTTCAGAAACAGGAATGGGAGTAAAATAAAGACCTTTGGTTTTTAGTCCCTGTCCATTTTCTATACAAGATGTGTATAAATTATCAGCATTATCCTGTAAAAATGACTGTATATTTGGAATGGACTCAATTTCAGAACTTAATAATATTTTCTCAATCATAGGTGTTCCTCTTAACATACTTTTATTGAAAGAGGATGGAAGTTTGTGGCTTTCTTGTAGCACAGAATCTTCATCTGTGGATTGATTGCCAAATTTATTTTCTTGAGTTAGTTTATTAGCTATCACAATGGCAGATTGAAAAGTTTCTTCATCAGCAATTAAATCAGTTCTTATATTTGGTTCTTGTTGTTGATCATTAACAAAAACATTATCTATTCTACATTCTCTTTCAGTCACATCCTCTACAACACATTTCTCTTCTGTAATCAATGGTGATTGTAACTTATGTACATCTGAGAAAAAACCTTCAGTATTTATACTCTGCTTGTTTTTTTCCTGGTCAAAGCTATAGTCACTTTGTGCTTCAATGGACAAGTTACAGTCAAAAAGACCTTCAGTATTTGTACAGCCTAAAGCCTTGAAGACTTCCTCCATCAGTGGTGGTCCTAGATCTAATGCCTGAAACATAGTTAAACAAAATTAAAGATCTGGGTCTTGAGTAACTGAAGGTTAAAAAAACCACTACTTACTAATTTAACTATGAATAAAGAATTTAAATAAAATATAAAAACATAATAGTTACTTTAAAGATTATATTTTATTTGTAGCTATAACTAAGTTCATTGGTTAAACTATAAAGGTGTATAGAAATGTCCATATTCTTGACTGATAAAACTTAATAATAAGATTACAAAATTTCTTTGTAAGTCAGCTTTCTGAAATAAGTCCCATAAGCAGACCATAAGGAAATCCAAGAATTCAGCCTTAGAAGTGAAAAATAAAATATGTCTACATAGAAGGATTTTACAAACCGAGCACCATAATTTTTATACAAACTAGAAAAACAATCCATTCTGAAAAAAGTTTTTGCTACTGATTATTTATTTAGAATTTTTGCTGTGGTTAGTTGGTGTGTATTGAAAAAAGTCAGGATATCTAATCATAAACACAGAACTTAATAATATTTTCTCAATCATAGGTGTTCCTCTTAACATACTTTTATTGAAAGAGGATGGTTAAACAAAATTAAAGATCTGGGTCTCGAGTAACTGAAGGTTAAAAAAACCACTACTTACTAATTTAACTATGAATAAAGAATTTAAATAAAATATAAAAACAATATTCTATTCTACATTCTCTTTCAGTCACATCCTCTATAACACATTTCTCTTCTGTAATCAATGGTGATTGTAACTTATGTACATAATTGTTTATACAATTGAGATAGGCACTATTTTCCACGCTGATTTTTCCAAGCCCATTCCCTTGGCTGTGGTTTCGCTAGATAGTAGATAGGGACAGTGGGAATCTCGTTAATCCATTCATCTAGCTGATGTTAGATTAACTTTGTTAAACAATATATTTTGAATACACTTATTATGTATATTTACTATACACCAGCATATCTTATTTCAATAGCACAGTAGTTATGATGTTTGCTATATCTATATCTGGCAGTAGAAATCAACATTTGTTACTCTTGTTGGAATATCTTTCATAACATTAATTCAACTTTGTGCATGTTTAAATTTAACATGTTTCACTATATTTACATCAATATTTGTTATCCTATATTATAATATACAATGTTTTATTAGTACAATCTCAGAAACTGCAAAGCTAATTTAATGAACACTATATTTTATCTCAACTGAATATGTTACTTATATACAAACCACATGACCACTTTATTAAAACACAAACATTTGTAACACAGTTTTTATTTACAGATACAAATCGTCTGATCACTGAAATGTCAACTTATTAGTGGAATCCTATAAATACAAAGCTATTGTAATATCATGTTAATATACAAGACAATGGCTGATAGTACAATTATATTTGACCAGTTAACAAGAGTATTATTATGAGACTATTTCTTTGGACAGTTATTTAAAGACACTTGTCTTTAGAGCCTATCAATATACTTGCCATTATGAAAGCTGTGGCTACTATACATTGGTAACTGAAAGAAGTGATGACTAGACAGGCTTGTAAAGTGTTGCATACATAAAAACGTGTCACAATTGACCAATTTCTTGAATAATGGTCAAATTTAACCTATTTACAAACAGCAACAAGTCTCAAACCTGCCAAGCTCAGATTTCATAAATAAACCAAAGCTTCTCTGAAGCTTAGAATGCAAAATGATGATAGTAAATGACTGGAAGCACGTGTTGTAATGAGTTGCATTTCTTTCTTTTTGTACTAATATAGAACAACAAATGTTTTTGGGTCTAGTAAAGTTCTAGCAAGTGGGCCTATGATTGGTCAAAAGTGACATGAATGTAGTCATGTTTATTACTTAAAATATGCATGTCAAAAAGACCCATTAATTAAAATAGATGTGTACTCATGGAAATTTGCTTTTCGTAGATTAGAAAGGTCAAAATGGCAGGCATGCCACCAAGTCTGCAACATACCACTTTCAAGGGGAGACACACACATACACTTAAAAAAATCACTCTTGAAACAACACTGATTATAAATGATCTGTATTCTTATTGGATGGATTTGTTCAAAAAGATTGATTCATTGCTAATATAAGCTTACTTGCCTCAATTAATCCGTTTGCTTTTACTTGATTCAGCTTGTAAAATCAATTTATTACAACTGTTTGACCTTACTTTCCATTACTATTATGATGACTCTTTAAATGTTTCTGGCCTAATGTGAATCAAGTATTGTGAATATCTTTAAAGAATATCTTGTTGTTTTTTTCAATTTCAAATTCTTTGATACAACTTTTATGCTCATATAGATCATACATTTACTTGTTCAAGAAACAGAACAGTACAGAAGGCAACTTTCTTGTTACTAACACACCAAACCACACATACAAAATATTGTTGCATCATCGAGTCACATGACTACTGTGATGCAA